GACCTGGACTCTGACCCAGTTTGTCTTTGAGTTCCAGACATCTTTTCCCCTCGTCAGAGATTTTATTTGTGGCTACGGCAAGTTTTGTCTCACAGGCTGTTAACTGTTCACGTGATGTATGACACTCACTTTGTAAACGCACGCCTTGTTGGACTAATGACGCTTTTTCCAATATGTACTCGTCCAGAGGTTTTGATGTTAGTTGCAACTGTTGGTGCAGTACATCATAGTCTGAACACAGTGCTTGGTACTTTAACCATCCTTCACGCAGCTTTTTCTCAGATGAGTCGGCTTGCAACAACAGCCGAGCTTGTGAGAGCTCTTTTTCACGTTGCAATTCATTCTCCCAGGTCTCCTTTTCAAATAGAAACTTTGCCATGAGTTTTAGATACTCCTCACGTGTTGCTACACGGTTCTCTGTCTCGCGTTTCAACTTTATTTCAAGGGCTTCTGTCCTGTTGGCCTCAAGGTTATATTCAGCTTTTAGCAAGAGTGCTATTTTAGCTAGCTGCTCGTAGCCTGACTTCTCTATGGCTACAGAAGTTACACTGCTTGCCACTTCCTTAAGTTCGTCGACTAAATCTGTTGAGTCCATGCAGTTCATCTGGTCACCATATGGAGATAAGGAATCTGTGAGCAGCTCCAAAGCTGTCTCAAGCCAGTCTTTCTTAACACCACTTGGAGCAGGATTAGCATTATCAGCTTTTGTTAAATCTGCCATGGTCGTATTCACTGTACAACAAAACCTATCTGGTTAAACCGTCGCAATCTTAGAGTTTGTCAACAGGTAAATGTTTGTATTTAAGTAAGCAGTGAGTTTCACACACTCTTTAGCTCTGTGGTTCCATCAACAGTACTGTTATAAGCCAACTTTTCAATAATTGGGCAACTGTTTTAGGTTTTACCCCATGAATATTATAAGTAAATGCTTCCCGTGGCAGTGTTAGTTAATATGAGCTTAATTCTAACAGATACAATGAACCAGGCTATTTCAGTGTTTATTTACTCAAATGCACTTAAAATTCATAAACCTACAATATTTTCTAAAAAGTCTGACAGCAACTTTGTAGTTTTAAACACTCTTTAGGCAGTATAATTTACCAGAATTTGCTATTTAAAACAGTAATTCATAAACCAAGCTTGATTAACATTTGTATTTACCCACATGCGTCTTTTTAGAAATAGAATGAAAAACGAGTTTGTAGCTCTCAGTTCTGAAAACTGTTATACTCTTTTTCAACAGCAGGTGGTGGTACAAGCTTACTTTTACCACAGGGTGACTGTAGCTACGCGTCTTCGACGGTAGGAGTCACTGACGACTTCCTGTGAACCGTCCTGTTGACATCCGGTCATTAGCCGTTAGCTTCGATTAGCAACGGACGAACACGGTGCAAATCAGCATTTATAGACGGATTTAAAGCTTGAACGTGGCGTCGCTTCAAAAGCACGCTCTTTTAGCATAAACTCATCAGGTTAGGAACGAATTTAGGGCTGTCATTCAGCTTTTTTTTAACCACTAAGGAAGACTCCATTTAAAAAACGAGCTTCATTTCCGGGGTCACGTGACTTTATAGACACGTGGACATCGGGGTGGGCTTTTCACGCTGACGCCAGCTTGAGTGGACGTACACGGCGTTACATCACTAGCTTCTCGGCAAATCAGAACGTTTCACACAGCGGTCCTCGACCAATCACAGCTCGTGTGTACCTGTGTAAGCTAGCTGTTAGCTTCAACAGTCCGGCCACAATATCGCCCATTAACGCTTCGAAAATGCACAAATTACCCGTGTAAAGTAGAGAATCAGCATAGAAGCAGCTTTCTGAGTCGGCGCTCAGTTTCACAGACAGCGTTTCACCCTTTAAAACACGACTCGTTCGAGTCCAATAATCAGAACCTGTCGGAACCGCAGAACCCCCCGACATGAAAGAGTTTCAAAACAGAATGACGTGTCCTTCCTCTCTGCTTACAACTTAATCACACACACCGAATGACAACTTCCAGCTTCAAAATGAACATCAACACAATTCTGTATCTTTGTGAACACCACAGCAATGAAATATGTCTTACCAAAGTCAAAACTTGGACATTTTATATGCCAACCAGCGTTTTTCCACAATATCACAATATCTCATGTCACACATAATTTATCTCTTCAGAAACGCATACGGGCCACCATTTATGTAGTGAGCTAGCTGTTAGCTCTACTACTAATTAATTATTCTTAAAGCTAGTTCAAGCACAAAGAATATTAATTATATAATTAATACAGATTCTTTCTTTGTCAAGTTAAATTTCTGCCATGTGAACAAGATAACTTGTGGAGTGGAGTGTATAATTAGTGACATGAGACGCCATTTTATCTTTGACCCATCAGAATAAATGCGGTCATTTATTTAACAGAATCAAAATTTAACATCAAACATGTACACATTGATTTGCTGATCTGTTTCTGATTAATAAACTTGGCATGATTTACTAAACAAGACAAGAGAAGATTACTGATTGAGACTGATTCATCTCTGAAGGCATCTAGCTTGATTTACTTGCGAATAGAAGTTTAAAGAGAGGGAGAATAGAAGTTTAAAGATTTAAAGAGGAGGTTTAGATGGATGAAAGTTATGTGTTGAACCAGAAAATGGCACCCTTCCTCCGAATCCAGCTCAGCCGTACGGTACACTCAGGGCATCAACGGCTTGTTACCTGAGATGGTGGATACATCAACTCCGGAACAGCGGTCCATTGGCATGCTACCTTTTCAGCGTCTCCGGTCAGGGTGGCTGAGAATATTTAGAAGTAGTTCCATATGCTCCGATCAACAGAATAAGCTTCCTTTGAAGTTGAGAGCATGTACTGCTCAGGTTGAGTACACAGCAATGCGAGCTGTGACTCCGCTGAAATGGAGGGACCCTTGGCACATGGTCCAATCCATCAGCTATTTTGTTCAGCTGTAAGACTCCATCAGACTGAGTCCCATCTTCGACTGAAAGTTCCAGGAAGACTGGAAAGACCGAAAGACTGAAAAAGACTGAATAGTTCTAAAAAGTGTTGCCTTTTAAAGGGTATCCACTTCCTGTCACTTGGTACTTCCTGATTGGTTGAAACAACCAGCAGGGGTGTAGTTTTAGTGATGTCAGAGGGTTATTAGAAGTCAACAGACAGCAGAAATGTTTTAAAAATGGTTAGTACAGACAGAGAAATATTTTGAAGAAATGAGAGACAGCAGGTGCCAGCTAGTTCTTATTTACTGTCTGAGAGTTTTAAAAACAAGGCACTTCGTTCTCATAACTTGTCTCTGACTTTCGACCGACATCAGGTCCACTCCTCACACAGACAGAAGAGTGAATGCACACTTACTTCGTAAATAGACATTTACTTGTATGATCCAAGTCTAATGAGGTTTAAAAATCATTAATACTGTTTCACAGTTGATTTAAATGAGTGGTTTACTTCAACATTTAGAAATGGTATAAACTAAACACACTTTTGATTATCAAGATATTATAAATTAGTTAATGATAATATAAAAAAGAAGAGTGTTCTTGAAATTGAATAATTCAGGATACAATTAAATAGTCTCTTGATGAGATAATTTGTATTTCTGGATACAAATCAATGAAATAACAGTTCCTGTCCCCTGAAGGTCCTCAGAGACAGATTGATGTCGGAGGCCTAGTTCACTACACATGTGTCCAGTCCATCACAGGGACACATAGAGAAACACAACTATTTGCTCACTCACTCTCACCTAGGGACAGTTTTAGAGTTACCAACCAGCCTAACATGCATGTTTTGGGTCTGTGAGAGGAAACCAGAGTACCCATAGAAAACCCTCATATGCACGGAGAGAACATGCACACTTCAACCAGAAAGCCCCCTGGATCAGTATTAGAACCAGGGTAACCTGCTTGCTGAGAGGCAACAGTTCTACCATTTGTGCCACTGTGCTGCCCATCTTAGTAACCAATAACTGATAAATGAAATAAAGACTATACATATTTATATGAGAAATCAAATACTTAAATAATGCAGGGATTGTAAATAAGGACTTCAATAATATTACTCACAGTTTTAAAAATGATAGTTTTCTTTCATTCACCAAATAAATGTTTATTTTTGTCCACCCATCGCGTAGCTCAGAGGAGAGTTCTGTCTGTCCATCCATCCATCTGACATGTGGGGTTGATAATTTGGAAAAATATGTGGTTGCATATAAGCATAAAGAAAGACATTGTTGAAAATTGGATTGTCTCAACAAAATCCAAGATGGCCACAAACACACATTAATATAATCTGACAAACCATGTCATTTGAAGAAACTCTGCTTCCTAGTTTTAAAAATGCTTAAAAATATAGTTTTGTCAAATGATGGAGTGGCCGAACATGAATCTGTAGCAGGCTGCCATTGGCCAACTTCTGGCTCCACCTTTGCACTTACTGGTGGATGAAACTGCTCCCTCCACTCTCCAAGATCTGTCACACTGTGCTGCTTCAAACAAGCACAGCAACACTCCCTATGTTCATCTCCACAGTGTAACTCTTACCTATTTGAATATCTTGTACACAAAACATTATGGTTTACTGAGGGTCTGCTGGGGCCCCATGAGCAAGACATCTAATCCCTAACTGCTCCCCGGGCAGCTTACATAGCTGCCCACTGCTCCACCTGGGTGCATCGTACATGTGATTGGTTACATGCAGATCACAATTATCTCATTGTATAGAAACAGAATGATGACAACACATATCACACACTTGCATTCCTTCTTCTATTCCACTTCAGACAAATGCTCATCTCCAAAACTACAAGCAATTACTATTCAAATCCATCAGCGACAGTGAACAGTGGTGTTCCCCTGTGTTCACATGAGAGGTTTTGCCCACAAAGCTCAAACATGGTCAAACTATCCATAAAGTGTCCCAGATAAATCATGCCATCCTTTAAATTTCTGCTTTTTTTTCTTTTGACAGGATTTTGGTAGTGAACTGTCTGTTGCTAAATCTGTAACATCTGATGACACTGAAAAGGTACTCCTTTAAAGAAAGTCATATTTTATTGTTTACACAATAGACATTTGGATTACAAACCAAACAATCATGTAATGTTTCTTGGTTTGCATAGAACAGCAGCTCTCGTCAAAATGCAGAATTTCCTTTAAAGATAAGTATAAATTATCTGTTACAGATGACGACTGAACAAATCCAGAGTCGGGGGACAGCAGGCAGCCAGAACCAGACCAATCCAGTTCGTGATAACCTGAACAGGAACACAAAGGTAGTTTTTGGTTCATGTAGTCCTAAACAGAATTACTTGCTGCAAGATGTTTCCTCAACCTACATGTTCAATTGAAATGTGTGTGTGTGTGAGTGTTTTGTGGTTTTTATGGACAGTGGTTTGTTGGGACTGTCATGAGCTGTAAACTGTTTGATTGTCTGTTTGAGTGTTTTCAGTGGTAAGTTACTCCAATGTGACTTAGAAAGTCCAAATTGTTTACATGGACTTTCTGTTTTTTCAAGTAATACGAAGGTTATGTTGGTCTTTGAATATTATAATTTTGGTAAGAACTTAGTAACCTTCCATCCATACATCCATTATCTTTACCCACGTCTTCCTTCCTGGGGTGCGGGCGGCGGCGTCCAGCCACCACTGTGCGAGAGGTGGGGGACAGCCTGGACAGGTGTCCAGTCCATCACAGGGACACATAGAGAAACACAACTATTCGCTCACTCACTCTCACCTAGGGACAGTTTTAGAGTTACCAGTCAGCTAACATTCATGTGTTTGGTCTGTGAGAGGAAACCAGAGAACCCAGAGAAAACCCTCACATGCACGGAGAGAACATGCACACTTCACCCAGAAAAGCCCCCAGATCAGTATTAGAACCAGGGGAACCTGCTTGCTGAGAGGCAACAGTTCTACCATTTGTGCCACTGTGCTGCCCAACTTAGTAACCAATAACTGATAAATGAAATAAAGGCCATACATATTTATATGAGATATCACATACTTAAATAATGCAGGCATTGTAAAGAAGGACTTCAATAATATTAGTCACAGTTTTAAAAATGATAGTTTTCTTTCATTCACCAAATTAAATGTTTATTTTTGTCCACCCATCGTGCAGCACAGAGGAGAGTTCTATCTGTCCATCCATCCATCTGTAATGTGGGGTTGATAATTTGGAAAAATATGTGGTTGCATATAAGCATAAGGAAAGACATTGTTGAAAATTGGATAGCTTCAACAAAATCCAAGATGGCCACAAACACACATTAATACAAACTGACAACCCCTGTCATTTCAGGAAACTGCTTCTTAGTTTTAAAAATTCAATTCAATTTATTTATATAGCGCCAAATCACAACAAAGTTGTCTCAGGGCATTTTACAGAAACATTCACATACATAAAAGCCAATTAGTAAAGTTCTCTATCTAAGGAATCCAGCAGACAAGTGAAAATGTGTAACTATAGGTTTGTGAAATAATGGAGTTGCCGAACATGAATCTGTAGCAGGCTGCCATTGGCCAACTTCTGGCTTCACCTTTGCATTTAGTGGTGGATGAAACTGCTCCCTCCACTCTCCAGGATCCGTCACACTGTACCACTTCAAACAAGCACAGTAACACTCCCTATGTTCATCTCCACAGTGTAACTCTTACCTACTTGAATATCTTGCACTAAGAACATTATGTTTACTGGGGGTCTGCTAGGGCCCCATGAGCAAGACCTCTAATCCCTAACTGCTCCCCGGGCAGCTTACATAGCTGCCCACTGCTCCACCTGGGTGTATCATACATGTGATTGGTTACATGCAGAGCACAATTTTCTCCTTGTATAGAAACGGAATGATTACAACACATATCACACACTTGCATTCCCTCTTCAGTTCCACTTTAGACAAATACTCATCTCCAAAACTACAAACAATTACTATTCAAATCCATCAGTGACAGTGAACAGTGGTGTTCCCCTGTGTTCAGATGACATGTTTTGCCCACAGAGCTCAAACATGGTCAATTTATCCATAAAGTGTCCCAGATAAATCATGCCATCCTGTAAATTTATGCTTTTTTTTTGTTTCGACAGGATTTTGGTAGTGAACTGTCTGCTGATAAATCTGTAACATCTGATGACACTGAAAAGGTACTCCTTTAAAGAAAGTCATGTTTTATTGTTTACAGAATAGACATTTAGATTACAAACCAAACAATCATGTAATGTTTCTTGGTTTGCATAGAAAAGCAGCTTTCGTCAAAATGCAGAATTTCCTTTAAAGATAAGTATAAA